TTGCATATACTTTGATATTATTACATATATTACCAAATTTCACGAGCTCCTGGGAATTTGAGATTTTTAGGGAATATGGGATATCAAGGTATTCAAGGTCAAGATGCAATCTTTGGTGCAGTGTACGCGCACAAGGGTCACACGAAAAAACTTCAGCGTCATGGTTTGCATGGGTTTGCACTGGATCAGCCTTCCATAAACAGAATTGGTCCAATTATGTAATCGTTCAGAAAAACGGAAACGGTCGGAAACGCTCGGAAGCAGTTGGAAACATGATCAGGCCAAAACTTGTCCAACCCACATTTTTTTTTAATAAGCGTTTCCGCGCAACGCAGTTTTTTTTTTGAAGGTCCAAAGGTGTCCAAGGGGAAACGGTTGGAAACAGTCGGAGTTTTCATTGTGTTTTTTCCAATTTCTTTACCGCTTGGGCTGCAGCGAGACTCAGCCTCTTCGGCTTCCCTTCGCTTCCTCTCCTGTGCTGTGAAAAATGTGGCGAAGGGCAAACGTATCCAAAGCCACAGAACCACCGGAAAAAAAACATCAAAGTTTGCATTGAAAGAATGCGAAACTAACATTTACAAAAATCAAGTTACCACAAGCGCATGCATAATATCTGTATCTGTATGTGTATATAATGTACATCAGAGATCATTTATTCAATGAATCTATTTATCTATTTAAATCTATTTAGTGTGGAAATCACATCGTCATTTCACCACAACTCCTGTTTCCAACCGCACATCCCACCGCGAACCTCAGCATCCTTTTGCGCTCTCTGCGCCTTGGCCTCCGCTTCCTTTTTCTCTCGACCTCGAAACAATGAAACATGTTGGATTGCAACAGCTTTCAAATGATGAGATACTTGAGAAGCTGGTGTGATCAAGTGAAGCTTGTATCAAGTTCCGTTGCGCTATATACATCGTTATGTCAACTAATTGTAAATGTAAGATATTTCTTCTGTAGGCACAAAAGAAGCCAGTGGAATCTAGCGCCGAGGAGCTTCTCCTCTCCTCCGAAGTCTCTCTGTCCTTGTTCTCCTTTGGGCTTCGCGATGGGGACCTGAATCAATGGCCCAAAATTGTCAAAACAATTCAGAACTGGGACAGTTTCTATGTATAATTCATGAAAATACTAATGATTATATAATTATAATCCTGTTCTCACTGGAGATTTCTGGCATGGATCTTTGCACCTTTTTTGCTGCCGGCTCTTCTGGAGCCTTGGGCAACGGTGTGCAAGTCACAAGTTTCACACGGTGCACGTCCTTCGGGCCCAGATTGGTCCAGGTCCCCCGACTGTTTCGCAGCTTTGGCTCTGGCGATCTCCGCTTTTCGCTGCGCCTCCGCCGCCGCCTCGGCCTCCTGTGCAAGGGCCCGCATGGAAATGTTCGATCTGTATTTTGGTTATTTTTGATTCAGATTTTGAAGTTTTTTGAATGCCACAAAATTTTGGTCTCAAAGCGAAGCAAACACCACAGGCACGGGGAGTGTATACAATGCTCTACACCATTATCTTTTGCTTCTGATTGCGGCCTGGTGCCATCCTTGTACGGACAGCTTCGAATTCGCCCAGTCACTTGCGGCTCCAGTTGCACACCCCAGCTGTCACCCCCCCAGAACGGATTGCCCCAGGTTACCAGGGACCCATTGGCCACAGCAGCAAAGGCTGCTCTCGCAGCTTGTACCTGCTGCACATTCCTCAACTTATGCTGGACATGTCTGCTGTCACCGCCCCACTCAGGGTCGCCCCAGGTCACCACGCTTCCATTCTCAAGCACTGCGGCAAAAGCCAAGCTGGAGCCATGAATTTCACGGACATCCCGCAGTTGGCCTTGAACCTGACTGCTGTCGCCACCGGCATCTGGGAGACCCCAAGTAACGACAGTTCCATCTTCGCGGCGGGCTGCGAAAGCAAAATCCGAGCTTTGGATCTGCTCAACATTTCGCAACTCATTCTGTACCAAGCTGACATCTGCCGATTCTGGATGACCCCAAGTGACTACACTCTTATCTGCCAGTAGGGCTGCGAAAGCATTCCTTGTCCCACACACCTGATCCACATCCGTCAAGTGCTTGCGAGACGTGCTGTCGCCTCCAGAGTCAGCTTTGCCCCAGGTGATGACACTGCCATCCTCTTTGATAGCAGCGAAGGCAGAGCCTGAAGCAGCAATGGCCCTGACATTTTTCAGCTGCGCTTCCACTCGACTGCTATCACCACCGCAAGGTCCTTTGCCCCACGTGATGACTCTCCCATCCTTTTTTTTAGCGGCAAAGGCACTGTCCGAAGCTGTGATCTGCTCGATGTCTCTTAATTGCAGGTGAACTTTGGAGATATCGGCACTGTCTGGATCACCCCAAGCGACAACTGTCCCATCCGTTCGAATTGCTGCAAAAGCACGTTTTGAGGCAACAACCTGTCGAACGTTGCACAGCTCATCTTCCACCTTTCTGCAATCACCACCGGCATCGGGCATTCCCCATGCTACCACTCTGCCATCTCCGCATAGCGCTGCGAACGCGCTGTCGGATGCCTGGATCTCCTTCACATTGTGCAGCTGTCGTTTCACGTCGAAACTCAAATCACCCGAACCATGCGAACCCCAGGTCACCACAGTCATGTCTCTTCTCACCAGGGCGAAGGATCCGGCTGAGCGCCTCGAAAAAATGCGAGGAGGTTGGACCACTGCTGTCACGGTGTCGCCATCCTTCAGAGCGGCGTCTTCCACGGTCCCTTCTAAGACCTGCCCTGTAGCGCTCACAAGGCTGTACAAAGACACCGAGAAACTTTCCTGTGCCGCAGCCTTCAAGTCATTGACCTGAGAGGCAGTGGGCAGTGACCCCATATACTCTATATCATGTCATTATATGTCATTGTATGTCATTTCATGCGCACTAGTTACTAGTTGTGGGTATTGTGACTTACTGGCGGGTTGGTGCCGTTGCCTGTCACTGATGATTTCAATTGTTCCGGCCATTCTGCAGTCAGAATGCTGAGGCTCGCGGGGAAGATGGCAGCAGTACCGACCGACCGCTTGGCAAGCAAACATGGATCTGCATGGCAGGGAAAGTATGGAGAAAGAGCGGCCACAGTGCTTTCTTGCGCTTTCTTTATCCATGCTTGGGCTCATGTTCGCTGTAAATCATGAGAGCCGGCCAGACCAGCCCAGTCTTGGTGTCGAATGTGTCAATGTACATGTCACTTAGTTCAACAGTCTGCATGGACCAAGAAGTCTGCACGGACCAAGAAAGTCATGAGCTCCCGCATGTTGCTACCTGCTGCCACATGGTCACATTGTGGTCCATAGCCTTTTGAGCAAAGCTGGAAATGCCGCGATGGTCCGCGATGGTTATAGACGTAACATATGGTTACATGATGTCACCTCCAATTTTTGCATTTCCTTTCAAGACATGTTGAAATATGTTAAATGATTGTGGAACGCATCAGCTTTCTCCTTCTGCTTCTGCAACCTCTGCTTGTAGGCGGGGTTTCGCCCTTGCGACATGACATGGCACAAGTCGCAGAGCGAAACACACCCGGAGGCCCTGAGGCCTTTGGTCACTGAGTCACTCGTCGCACTGAGTTCCCAAACGAGAGGTCACAAGGCCAGGGATGGGTGCATCACCTGTGCCAGCACGGTGAGACATTGCAGCCTTGGTCGCCGCCAGGTGAACCACATGAATGCGACATCCGTCGTACAGTGCTTTAACGCGTGCTTTAACACGTGCTTTATCTGAGTCTTGTTGTACAATCGTACGACATGTAATTGACTGTAATTGCAGGATTCCCAGTGACTTCGACATCTTCCACCAATTTCAGGAGAATGAAGTCTGGGCCAGTTTGGGTTCCCAAGCGAGGCGGGCAAAATCGCAAAACCCGTCACCACAGCATGGCGGATTGTAAAGGGCTGCTGGGCCAGCAACGAATTGCGAATCACGAATCATTTCTTAATTTAGTTCGGAGTCTTGGCCTCAAGGAAATTGACTATATACAGCTAATATTTGCTGCAATATCATGCAATATCGCCAAATATTGTATACGTTGACATCTACCGAAGTACCATCCAACACCAATATGATCATAGTTTTGCATTACTGCTCTACAAACACTACAGTAGCAGCAAGGGTGTCCTGCATCCACAGGGCCCATTCGGAAAGGCCGATGACCAAGGTCCCAAGTGGGTATCCGACTGCTTGGACCCTCCAAGTAGCCATAAAAATTGGTAAACGTCCCAAAAGTCCCAAACGTCCCAAACGTCCCATAAAATCATCGGTACAAACGGCAAGAGGGTACTTTGCAGGCCCACTAGAGCTTTCTGAGCAGCCGGCTCCTGAAAAATTCACCATTACGGATCATTACGGTATACAATCGGTATACAATGTGTACATCAGCCTCACATCATGACATCATCATGACATCATCATGACAGTACACAGCAGAGTTCATCTTTTTCGCTTTCTGCGGCTTTCTGCGCATGGATTCACCGGATTCACCGGATTCACCTTTCTTCTCCTGCGCGAGATGGCAGATGTGGAAGCCTGATGAAGCCTGAAAGTTGTGCACATGGCCTATGCTCAAATAAGTTGACTGAAAAATATCGTGACCTGATTCATCAACTACTACAGTAGTACATTCAAAACATGGTCACACGCGAATATCAACGTGCCTCCAATTACATGAACATCATGCGAAAGATAGGAACAGCGATCCTGTGCAAAGCTTGACTGAAGCATGAAACTCCTTTTCTATTTTTTTCTGCACTCAACTTTTGCACTTCAAGGAGATTCACGGAGCACGAGCGACTCGAGTGGCTCGTAGCTTGGCTGTGCCCGCCCAACCTGAGACGTGCAGCAACCAACAGCTGTGCAAAAAACTCGCCGTGGCATGCCGTGGCAAGAAGAGGTTGTGACTCCTGAAAGCTGCGACATGCTGCGACATGCTGCGACACTGCCATGGAGTGCCACACCAAATCAATCCATATCACACCATGCCGCACCTCCGGCCTATTGCGCTTCTTTCGCAAAAGTCTCCGCATTACTCACCAGCCAGGTGCGCAGCAGCTGCAGTGCACGACCGCGATGGGAGATACCATTCTTGGCTTCCTGGGGAGCTAAGCTCTCACGTCTAAAGCTTCGGAACAACGTACTCACTATAATTACCATTATGTCAACTATATAAAGCAACAATTTATAATGATGTGTGTAATATAATATGCGGTTACATTACAAATTTGTGACCCTGTCGCACTCAGGTTTTGCAAAGCTTTGCCTGGCCAATGCGTTGGCTCAAGGCGACTCAAACTGAGATTGCCAAGGAAAACAACGAGGTGTCATTGGGACGCGACTTTAGTTGTTGGAGCCCATAACATTGGGACGCAACTTTAGTTGTTGGAACCCATAACCACCTGGTTTGTAGCCTCCCGTAGGTTATGAGCCCAAGCTTATGCTGATGGAGCGTCGCCGCCGTGAAGCAGCTGATGCTTTCTTGCAACCTGCTGGTGATGGAGCAGGAAATGGCCAGGCCGCGGCTGAGGAGTCAGCTGACCAAAGGATGGACAGGCTGATCCATGAACAACAACAAAGTGGTGAACCAGCTGTGAGGTCAGTGAGGATCTCGATGGCAGCTGGCACTGATGCTAGCGATGGTGGAGGACGAGCGTTGGAGGACGGGACCCGAGAGACCGGACATGCAGCTCAAGCTGATGGAGCTGTAGCTACGGGTGAGGGTGGATCGCTTCAGCTCTTGGAAGGCCTTTCGCCTGAGCAGAGAGGGATGCTTGCACGCGCTGCTGAAGCTCTACGTGCTGAACAAGTCCTACAACTAGAGGATGTGGTGAGGAGACCCGACTTTCTTCCACCTCCTTTGCAACTACCTGATGTGCCTGTACCAGCTGGACATCAAGGCCAAGCTGATCAAGTTCGAGGACCTGGTGAAGGTCAACATGCCGATCGACGTGAAGGAAATGATTCGGGAGCCCGAGATCAAGCTGATCAAGGAGCCAGTGGACATGGTGGTGGCCTTCTTGGACCTCTTGCGCTACGCCCTGGTGAAGTTCTTGGTGCTGACTTTGTGCTTCGACCTCCGGATCTTCCTCCAGTTGGACAGCCTGCTGCTCTTCAACCACTAGGTGGACACCTTCAAGGTCCTGGACATGCTCAACAAGGTCATGGTCAAGTTCCACATGGTTCGGGACAAGTTCAACAAGCTCTTGAAGAGCCTCGACGTGAAGTTCAGGAGATGGTGACTCCACCAAGGCAACCAGCGGTGAATGTGTTCTGGAGTGAGCGTGTTCAACGGGCTGTAGAAGATGGAGTTCCAGGTGATGTGATTCACCAACAACCTCAACAAGGTAACCGTGGTGGTGATGGACGTCAAGGGGTGTCTCAACCTCGAGCTCTTCCAGCTGAAGGGATGCAACCTCTGGCAGTTGGAATTGAAGGTCTCACACACCAGGACCTGTTGGAGTTGGAGTTGCTTCAAAATCAGACGTTGAAAAATGTTGAAAACCAAATCCAACAAGAAATAGCTAGGCGTAAGGCGGCGGCTGGGGGTAGTGGTTCGTATGGGACACCTCAAGGGGGGAGTAGGAATGATGAGGGGATGCAACAGCCCAATATCTCTACTCCACCAGGGTTACCTCAAACCACCTCAGTTTTGGGAAATCCCCCAACGGCTAGCGTGAAGAACGTTTTGGGGTTTGGACACACGCCATTCAATCCACCTGCGATCCATGGTGACATGGGAATGCCAGTTGGTGCAGGAAGCTTGTCGTCAGGGTTGAGGGTTGATGGAGCTCAGCACCCTCCGGGGACCGCTGCGGCTCAAGTTGGGGAGTCGTTTGCAGAAAGCCTGAGGGTTTTGGAACTGCCTCGCTTGAGTGAAAACACAACAGCGTTGTCTCTAGGAGATTGGTTGGCTGTAATCGACCCAATCATGTCTGACCTTAGCTCCACTTCAGGAGTTTGGTGGCAGTTGATTGTAGGTGCTGCTCAGGATGGGTACCGCCAATGGATCTTGTCAGGACCTTTGGACCGACTGAGGTTACGTCCACCGGTGCCTGCCGAAGCATCCAAGTGGCCACGCACTGAACAGCGAGCTGTGACCATGCTTCTAGCTTGTCTTCCCGAAGGAGTTCGACGTGATCTCATTGCTTCTCGGCGATTGTCAACGGTCGAGATCATCTACAAGCTGCTGATCACGTACCAGCCTGGAGGTCCACAGGAGCGGACCGTGCTCTTGAAGGACATCACTGAGGATCGTCTTGGAAACAACCCGTCAGTGCAGGAGGTTCTCAACACCTTGAGGATGTGGAGAAGAAATGTCAACAGGGCGAACGAGCTCAAGGTCACCTTGCCTGATACTTTGGTGATTGTGGGCGTGCTGACCAAGTGGGCAGAGCACATCAGTCGACTCGGTGGGGCTCAAACTGCGTTTCGAGTGGCCACGCTACGTCAAGATCTCAAGTTGGACAACCGTCCGGATGCTGACCAGGTGATGTACTTTGCGGAGGCCCTCCAAGCTGAGATCGAGCAGGTTGCTTTGTCACGGCCATCAACGACATTGTCATCGACGTATTCAAGCTCTGACGTGAAGAAGAAGGAGGTTCCCAAGACGGCATCGCTCAGGACTGGTGGAGAAAGCTCCGCTACCACAGGTGCTACTGGCGAAAAACCAAAATGTAAGTTTTGGGGTAGCTCGGTTGGTTGTAAGAGGGGAGATAAATGTGCATATCAACACTCATGGGGAGGAATCCAACGTAGTGGAAGATGTTACTTTTGTTCAGGGGAGGGTCACATGAAACCCAATTGCCCTTACAAAACTCAAGAAAGGGATGGTGATCAGAAAGGAAAGATCTCAAAGGTCAATGCTGGCACAACGAAGGTTGCCCCTGGAGGAAAGAAACAGACCTCAGGAAAGGATGCCCAGGTTGTGCAGCCAACGTCCTCATCCTCTACCGGATCCACGGAGGAGAAGCCGGTGTCCAAGGGTGTGGAGGAGATCCCAGTGGTCCCATCAACTCCGGTCATCGATGTGACGAGCCTGATGAAGTCGCTTCAGAGCCTGAAGGCTGTGCAGCTTCGATTCTTGGATGCTGGTGGTTCGGACGAGCCCCCGCTGGACTGCAAGGTTGCCCTCCTTGATGGAGGGGCAACACATGCTCTACGTCAAGGTTCAGCGGCAGAGCTACGTGACGCTCAACCAGTATCTGTGGAACTTGCACATGGCCGAACTACGCTGTATCGTCATAATGGATGCAGCACCCTGCTCTCCAAGGAACCCATCGAGGTGATCTTACCCATGCGCCTTTTGGTCGAGAACGGCTACCAGGTGAAGTGGTCGTCAAATAAGTGTGTGATCGCTCACCCTGTCAAGGGAAACCTCCAGTGCTGGCGTCGCCAAGGATGCCCTGTCATGAAAGAAGATGAAGCCCTACTGCTTCTGGAGGAGCTGGAAAAGGTCGAGACCGAGAATGGGTTGGGGGTAGAAAAAGATGTAGAAGAATGGTGGCGGAAGTACTTTCCGCAGGTCCCTGATGAAGTTCTCCAGAGAATGAAAGGTCAAGGGAGACACTGGTCAGAATGCAGTGGTCCACCCTTACCATGGAATAGAAGGAGACGCCGACAGATCGAGGCCTCGAAGGGGGTGATTCTACACCTGTTTTCAGGTGGTGCGGTGATGTCCAAAAGGTGGGAGGGGTTGCGGAAGAATGGCTATGAAGTCATCACGCTTGACATCTCCACCAATGCCGCGGAGAACCTTCACAACGCCACGATCTGGTCCTATTTGTGGGACCTGGCGTCCCGCAACAGGTTGCTTGCCATTTTGGGTGGACCTCCCTGCAGAAGTTTTTCTCGTCTTCGTCATCAAAGACCAGGACCTCGACCACTACGTGCTAGAGGGTCACAACGCTGGGCACTGCCAGATCTGAACCAATGGGAACTTCAGACTGTCACGGATGACAGTGCTCTGATACTCAAGATGCTTGGCCTGTTTGACCGAGCAGTGGAAGTGGCCCAACCGAATGAAGAACGTGCTTTTTTGATGGAGCACCCTGCTGACCCTCAGGATTATCTTGGCGATGATGCCTCGATGATGCCGTCAGTATGGGAATGGGAAGAGATTCGGGAGTTTGCCCGTCGACACCAATTGAACGTGGTGAAGTTTGATCAGGGCCGAACAGGCCACTCACGCCGAAAGCCAACGACACTGATGACATCTCTTCATGCTCTCAACGAGCTGGACGGTCTATCTGGAGGGGGACATGAATCTCTACAACCGGATCTTCCTGACCGTCTTCGTCAGACTGCCACCTGGGCCGAATGGTCCCCGGGCCTAGTTCAAGTCATCAAGTTGGCTCTTCGAGGATTCTTGGAAAAAATAGACCAGGAAGCTCAAGTGAAAAAGATGAGCCTGGACGACTGGCGTCAACATGTGCAGCAGAACCATGTGCCTTTCAGGCGAGATTGTCGAGTCTGCGTCGAAGAAATGGGTCAAGATGTTCCTCACCGTCGCAGAAAACACCGTGGAGCTGGCGATGCTGTCTATGTCTTGGCCGTGGACGTCGCAGGCCCCTTTGTCAAGGGATGGGACTATGGTATGGCTAAAGAGGCCAAGTATGCACTGATTGCTACGATACCTGTGCCGGTTGGATCGCGATTGGCAGATCCAAAAACTTCGCCCTGTAGCGAGACTGAGGCTGTTGATGATGGCCTACATCCTGAAGATTGTCAACATGATGGAGGTGCTGGCGACCATGATGGAGCTCTACCTCTACCTTCAGATCCTCTTCAACCTCTTCCTGAACTTCGTGAACGCGATGGTCCAGATCCTCAACATGAAGGAGATGCTGTCGATGCTTCTGGTCATGGCCGCGATCAAGCAGTCATGGACCGTTCGAATGAAGAGTGGAAAAGACAGAGGGACATCGCCACCAACCCCATCGACATCCAGAATATCACAGTGGTTGAACCACTTTCGTCACGGGCTACGAGGGATGTGTTAGAAGCCTTGCATCGGGTCTACGCTCGTTATCGGAGCCTGGGAATCCCGATCTATCGACTGCACTCGGATCGTGCCAAAGAACTGATCAGTGCACCAGTTC